AACCCTGCTCTTGCAGATGACTTTCAAACTGGATTCCAGCCCCATACTGCTGAACAAAAGGGTTTTTAAACAGGAGGCCAAATCACATCTCACTCCCCTTAGTGATTCAATATTCCACCCTTAATGCTCAGCAGTCTCAGCCAACAAGCTTTTGTAGAACCCGGCTCCTGCAGATTACTTTGAATGAGTACAGTTCTGTTTTGCTTACTTTTATTAAACATTGTATTCAAAGTATCTATTAGGGATATGGTTGTCCCAAGGACAATGGATGGCTAATCTGAGCACATATGGTATTTATTATTCTTATTTTCAACATCTTTGAATAATATACTGACTTCAGCTTTGAATCTACCAACTGTTCCACAGGAGAAAGATGGGTAATCTCCTGTGGGTTTTATTGTCTCTGAAAACCTGGGGAGGATCAGCTATGAGGTGGTTCCAACATCACAGTACCAAATAACAACAACTGAGGTGTAACTCTCTTGCCAGGTTCCCTAGAAGCCAGTGGAAACATAACCCACTCCTTTACAGCTCTCATATTTGGGCTGCACTGCAGGCTTTTAATGAGTTCAGCCTGTGCAGAGACAAGCCTATCACCATGAAGATGAGAGGATAGAGGGTGAAGTCCAACAAGGTTAGATGACTAAGAACTCACCAAAAACAATTTTTAAAAAACGATCACTATCTTTTTTTTCTGAGAAACCCAGTAAATTAAGTTATGAAACTATACAGCAAATTGAAAGGATCTGGCCTAGAGGTAAGAAGCTGTGCTGCCAATCCAAAGATATACTGTTCGAATCTACTAGCTTCTCTGAGGGAGAAAGATGAGCAATCTTGTCATAAGACTTACTGCCTCTGAAAAGTCATTGGGAAGGTCAGCTATGAGTTGGTTCCAACTTGATGGTATGCAATATAACATTTGATTAAGTAGTTTTACTATGAATATGAAAAGTTTTTTTCTTGGTCAATTAATTATTATATCACCTCTAACCCTGAATGCCCCTGAACTCTGTCTCTTCATGTCCCTTGCCAAGAATCTTTAGGGTTCACTCTTCTAAGCTGAAGAGAGTAACTAATTTACATTACTCTGTTGTTAATAACATCTGCCACTTGCTGTTAGCACAGTGCATACATCAGGTTGATAATCATAGGTCACTGGTTGGGATCTACCAGTTACTCCTGGGGAGAAAAATGGGTGGTCCCCTCCTATAAAGATTTATAGCCTCAGAAAACAGAGGGAGGGGTGCTACAAGTTGGAATTTATTTGATGACGTACCTGTGGTATGTCCTTAATATTCAAAATATGTTAAACTCCACCTGAGTCAGGAAACCATAGTGCATTGCCTCAACTGGATTCAAACACAGTACACATCCCATAGTTGTTGTTGTTGTGTGGTGTTGAGTCAGAATAAATTCATAGCTGATCCTCTAGCAAGTTTTCAGAGACAGTTAATCACATAGGAGGAGAATGCTCATCTTTCTCCCATGGTGAAGTTCATGGATTTGAACCACATGTCTCTGTATTGGCAATGAAGTTCCTAAGAAGGAAAGAAAGAAGGAAGGAAAGGGGGAGGGAAGAAAGGAAGGTGAAAAGGAGGAAAGGAGGAAAAAAGGAAAGAAGGGAGGAAGGGAGGAAGGGAGAAAGGAAGGAAGGAAGGAAGGAAGGAAGGAAGGAAGGAAGGAAAGAAGATGATAGATACTCTGTTGTGTATCGTTGTGTCAGAACCGACCCATAGTTGACCCTCCAGTGGGTTAATCACAAGAGGCAGTTAATCACAAGAGAGGGGACTGCCCATCCTTCTCCTGTAGGGCAGCTGGTGGATTCAAAGTGCGTGCCTTTGGGATTGCAGTGTAATTTCTTACTATTAGGTCACCAGAGATCCCATATATGTACACACATATATCTATCTAAACAGTTTTGTTGGAAGAATGAATACCAGTCCTGGTGTTCTTCATTCTTGAACTACAGAGACCTCTGAGTGGAATAACCAGGTCTTCCCTGCCTGTAAGATTGTTGTTTTTATGTTGTTAGGTGCCATCAAGTTGACTACAACTCATGTGACCCTACGAACAACAGATCTGACCCTTGCCTTATTCTTTGTCATCCTCATCCTCTTTATCCTGCTGAATGAAGCCCACTGTGGTAGTCACTATGTCAATCCACCTCCTTAAGGGTCTTTCTCTCTTTCGCTGACCAATGTCTTGTCCAAGGACTAGTTCTTCTTGAAAATATGCACAAAGAAAGTGACATGAACCTACAACCAGGAGAAGATAACGTAGATGAATGGGATCTTCTAAGACTCAAATCCCTATGCACATCCAAAAACTTCTCCAACAGGGTAAAAAGGGAAGCCACTGACTGGGAAAAAGTATTTGGTAATAACATATCAGATAAGGGACTTATATCCAGAATTTATGAAATACTTGAACACCACAACAAGATAAAGGTAAATAATCCAATAGAAAAATGGGCACAGGATATGAATAGGCACTTCACCGAAGACGACATTCAGATGGCTAACAAGCACATGAAGAAATGCTCAAAATCCCTAGCCCTAAGAGAGATGCAAATTAAAACAACTATGAGATATCATCTCACCCCAGTCAAAATAGCAAAATTTTAACAGAACAGCAAGCAACAAATGCTGGCGAGGTTGTGGAGAAACTGGAACCCTGATTCACTGTTGGTGGGAGTGTAAAATGGTGCAACCCCTGTGGAAAGCAGTATGGCGCTTTCTCAAGAAGTTGCAAATAGAGATACCATTTGACCCAGCAATTCCACTACTGGGAATATATCCTGAAGAGACCATAACTGACATCCAAGCAGATATATGCACACCCATGTTTATGCAGCTTTGTTCACAATAGCAAGGAGTTGGAAACAACCTAAGTGCCCATCAACAAACAAATGGATAGAGAAGCTGTGGTATATTCGCACAATGGAATACTATGCTGCATTGAAAAACAAGGAACTCGTGCAATATTATTCAAAATGGTTGACTCTGGAGAACATTATGCTGAGTGAAATATCCCAGTCACAAAAGGACAAATATTGCATGGTGCCACTGTTGTAGAATGGGACTGACCTGGGGGTTGGGGAGAGACTGAGTAAGATGGGTTCAATAATGTATACTGCACTGAAACAGAGGAGGGAGAAAACTGTTTAAAAGAGATATGAGACTAAGTGTTTCTGTCATGACAGGAGTCTAGAGCGATGTCTACATGTTGGAGTGGACCTGGGGGAGGGTTTGTAAAACAATGAAAGAATCTTTTCTTTTACTTTTCCAGGAGGGTTGTGTTCTGGGGTGGGGGGGAGTCTTGGAAGGGGACAAATCTACAACAATGAATGAATGGAAATCCAAAGCCTCTGTAAATTTTCACTGAAATTAATAACAAATTTAAATTTAAAAAAAAAAAAAAGAAAAAAGTGAGATGAAATTTTACTAGCCTCTAATATTGGAAGCTGGAGTGGCATCCACTTCCTAAACAACATGCATCTGTAAACTATGAACTTTGATAAATGTTGATAGTTATAGAAAGGCTGCAGGTCTTATGTTCATAGGGTCTCTATGAGTCGTGCTTGACTTGACAGCAATCAACAACAACAGCCTCTAATGAACACTCTGGTTGCATGTCCTTCAAGAAAGTTTTATTTATTCTTTTGGAAGTCCATGGGATACTCAATACCACATGTATTCAGTAACACATGAAGCTCCACAAAGAGCAACACATGAAGCCGCCCTCATAAAGCAAGGTGAGCACTTGGAGAGAACCTTTTAGCAGGTTCCTGGAAAGTCTAAGGCAGTAATGGCAACCCCAGTAAGTCACTCCTCCCAGACAAAGCCTGGCCCAATTCACAGCTGGCAAATGCAGGTCAGGATCTCAAGCTGGTACACACAGCTCCATGTGACTGATAAGCTGATAAAGAATAGGAAGGAGTGGGTGCTAGTCCACTGGGACATCTGCCAATCTCTGCTGGCCATATTAGTCCAAAGGGAAGTAAACTCTGGGCTCTAGTCATACATTCAGTAAGCATTGTTAAGCACTGGTTTCAAAAGCTATTCTTGATGTGCACTAAGCTTGGTTCACAGCTGGGCACCCACATACCCTGGTTCTCAAAGTTATCTGAAGCCAGACACGGCAGGGACATATTCAGCTAGCCTGCATTTGTTGTTGGTATCAAATCAGAAATGAAAATTTAGGAATGTTACAGAAAAGCCTAAAAGTGGTTTGGTATGTCCTGTCTTGACTTTACCAATTAAAAATTTCAGAAATGATACCTGGCAAGTCAGTTAATATCCAGATTAAATTATGCTGATATATAACCTTAACTTTTAAAGTGAAAAGGCCCAGGAAGTACAATTTCTCCCTCACAAATGGAATACAAAAACATGTCAGACATGGTTTCTGAGCTAGTCTGCAGTCCATATCCTGGGTTCACGTAGTAATAATTATTGATGTAGTCTCCACAGTGCTTTTCAAGGATGTGAGCTAAACAGGAGCGTTGGCACTGTGGGATTAATACACTAACTTAAGACAGCCTAACTGCAGACCCGCTAGGCTACTGGGAAGGACAAACTCACAGTAGGGACACGGCGAGGCAGCACTGCTACTTTGAATTATTACATTTGGAAATATCACAGGGGAGGGTCTGAGAATGAGTCCATTTTATTAGCAGTTCTAAAGACTTATCACCTGAGATGTGTGTTCAGGGAAAATCAAGACTTAATTCTAAATATAATGCCACATAAGAGCTAAGTTTGGGCCCCAACAGCCTTGTACTAAGCTGCAAAACCACCTAAGTACAATCACAGAGAGAACCTGAGGACATACAAAATTAATGATTAAAAAGACACAGTCAGATGCTTTAAGCATATCTCCCCTGGGCGCAGGTAGGAAGGTGTCACACCAGGAGCCAGTGATCAGAGGCAGGGATCCATCTTCAGATAGGCCAGCTCCTCCTTGGGTCAGTATTTCTCTTTTCTGTTATCCGATGCTTTTCACTTCTCATCATCCCGCTCATAATTGATAGTTTGTAAGGCCTGAGCTATGAGTACTGCCATTTCTCGGGTGCCTGCAGCAACCACTCTGCATGACATGAGGTCAAGGGGCCCACCTATGGGAGAGAGGGAGGGAGACAGGCACAGCATCACCTGAGTGAGACTTCAAAGTCACATGAGGTCAAGAGAGAGGGACAGATGCAGCATCACCTGAGTGTGACCTCACAGTCACATAGGTCAAGGGAGGGGGACAGGTGTAGCATCACCTGAGAGTGATCTCATAAGACATGAGGTCAAGAGGCCCACCTACAGAGAGAGGGAGGGGGATAGGCACACTGGAGTGTGACCTCATAAGCACATAAAGAGCAGCCAAGTTCACCAATTATTTTCAAGTCCCAGAGCTCCTCATCAGACTGCAGTCAAACTGAGGGAACGGGCACTTCCTCACTGTTATCCCCTATCTGATCATCAGCACACGCCATGTAGACTAGTGAGTCTGAGAGAACACAAGGTGAACATGCCAAGACTTAAATTCAAATTATCGGGCAGACTCAAACAGGGTTCTCAAACTCTAAGTGCATGTGAATCACAGGGACCTGGTGAGAATGCAGGCTTGCTTTAGACTGCATTCCTGACTGCCTTCCAATGCTGCTGTTGCTGTAGGCCTCACTCCAAATCGGCAAGGGTGGAATGTCACAAGACAGGCCTACTGGTGCCATCCTTGTGCATACAGAGGAATACCACTACCTGATACTTTTAATGTCAAACTGGCTTGTCTTATCTTATCAACCACCTAGGGTTGATCTCTGTTCATTTTTATTCTCTTCTGGTAGCTCACCTGGGGCCTCTCACATGAGAAAAAAGAAAAAGTAGAAGTCACATTACAGGATCCAAGATGAAAAGACAGTTATAGCATCTCTGTGGACAAGCTCTGGGCTGAGGAGCAAGGAGAGAATGGAAAGGAGGATGCCTAGACCCCAGTGTGTTTCTTCCACATTAGTCACAGATTGTGTAAAGCCAGCGCTGAGCTTTGTGGCCTTGGAAATATGCATCTATCTGCCTACCTTGTGGGATTCTCAAGAACACTGGATGTGTCTGAAAGTATTCTGGGGGTTGCTAGTATTATCTCAGTGCAAAGCATGATGCTACGTTCCAGAAAGCAGCTTCTGTGCTGTGGTCTACTTTATCCCCAAGAGTAAAGGAGGAGGAAGACTGGTACTGGGCCTGCTGAATCTCTGGGCCCTCTGCTTGGTCTCTCACTAGCATAGGCTTTGAGGAAGTGGGAAGAGTGAGCAAGAAAGTTCTCTGATTTAGAGCCTGCTTCTCTATGCCTGGAGCATCTGAGAGGACTCACCAGATGTGTCTATCACAATCCCGCCAGCTTCTTGAATGATGACTGTAGCAGCAGCCAGATCCCAGCAGTGCAAGCCAAACTGATAGTAGGCATCTGCAGCACCTGCAGCCAGGTGGCAGAGGGCCAAGGTGGAACTCCCGATCACACGGACCCTGGAGGGCAGGAGAGAGCATGCTCAGCACTTCTTGGCACCAAAAGGGTCCACCCTAGAGCGGGAAGTGAGATGCCTTATGTCAGCCTTCTCTGAGCCTTCTTTCCTGCTGGATTCTAGGGACTGTAAACAAGCTGTGGAGTTTTCTGTTACACGGAGCCACTGAGCACTAGAAACACGGCTAACAATAAACTAATGGAGTTTTATATTTTATTTTAAGGAAGGATGGCAAAATTTTATCTCATGTACTTTGTACATGCTATCTGGAGGAGGCAGTCCTTAGAGAAAGGCATCATGCTCAGTAAAGTAGAGACTTAGGGAAAAAGAGGAAGACCCTAGAGAGATGGATTTATACAGTGGCTGAAACAATGTGCTCCCATCTAGCACTGACTGTGAGGGTTTGCAAAGCTGCGCTTTGCTCTGTTATATGTAGGGCTGCTATGTGCAACATCAATGACACCTAACAACAACAAACTAAACTAATCTCACGTGGCTAGTAGTTACAGTATGGATCTTGAGGACAAATGAGAGGTGAGTGATTAATCTGGACTTTGATTTCTTTACCCTAATTGCTTATTAGATTAATTGTCTATGTGAAGTCAAACTGATTTGCAAGGGACTCTTAACTACGCTGGGAGCCCACTGGGCTTGATGGCTTGCAATCAACTATTCGCGTTTGCAAATAAGCACGCACAGGGCACAAATAAAGGGCTTCCTGCCAGCCTTCTTAGTGCCTGACTACACGTGCCCCTGGGCTGGCATGGCCTGCAGGCTGCGGCAGGGCTACATCACATGGCATTGTCTGAAGCTGTGACAGAAGCCATGTGCCCTCTGTCTCTATTGCACATGTGCCTCTTTTCCTCTTTAAATCCCTGGGGAATTTTTAGCAAGACTGTCCATTTGCAACTTTTCCCTCTGGTCACAGGGTGTTCCAGGAACTGAAAGTTCATACCCATGAGCCTTGGCGTGCAGTAACCGTTCCATGTTACTCAGGAACAATTTCAGAGTGGCAGGGTCACGTTTGGGACCTATTTCGGTTAAAACTAAGGCCTTTGAGAGATCTGCAATAGAAAAAAGAATCCCACAATTAGTAGAAAAAAATATCATGTCTTGCTAATTCTAATTAAATGGTTGGTGTTCTTCCTGAAGCAAATGTCAAACACCAGCTTCTTACTTCTTTGTAGAGGTGATTCATGCTGTAGTTTTTCTGACAGCTGTGCTCAAAAGGAAGGATACAGTGAAGTTAGAGAATGACTGTCCTGCTGCAGCCCCTCAGGGCTGCTCAGTTCCACAGCGCTGTGGGCTGAGGGCTGAGGAGTAAGGCTTTAGGTTCTTACTTCCAGGGTATCTTTCATCTCATATGGACTGCATGAAGAACACGAAAGAGTTTGGCAGTTTATTAAATTAACCATCATTCAACCCCAAATAAAAGCAAAATTACTCTAGGAATACTTAATATTTGAAGGGTGAGATGCTTCAGCAAATAAATCTGCTATAGAAACATTTCTTTTTTTTAAATTTTTTTTTATTTTATTATTTTTGTGTGCGTGTACCGTCAAATCAGATCTGACTGGTACAGGAGGAGATTGTTCCTCCTTACCCGGCAGAGCATCTGGTGGATTCGAACCGTTCACCTCTGGGATTGTAGTTGCAGCTCCTTGCCACTAGGCCACCAGAGCTCCCCAGAAACATTTCTATAACTGCTATGATCCTGTGTTGTCTTTGGAAAGGGAGCTCTTAATAACAATCTTTCTCCACATGAAATGATAGTTTTAGGTTTCTCAGCAGGGAAGCAGCAGGCGTGCTGAGGAGTGTAGCAAGATCACAGGTAGGGGCACCACCACAAAGGTCAGGGATGTTACAAGGGCTCCCAGGCTGAGCAGACTTGCTGATGGGGGGTTGGGAAGCAGCTTACCTGCAAGGCTAGCCAAATTTCATCTGGGACACGTGCTGTCAGGCTTTACTGCTCAGGCCTGATGCAGCCTAACCAAGTGTGTTTAGAGAACAAAATGCAGCTACTCCCTGACATGGAAGGAAAGCCAACACCATCAGATTATTTCCCTCAGTGTATCCAAACTTAGCTGGCATTTCCAATCACTTTTTCACCTAGGAGCCAGGCATTCTCCTCAGCCAGAATCTTTACCAATTTCTCCTTTTACTTATATCATCAGGGTTTCTTGTTTTGTACTTTGAACACTTCCTGGGAAATGTATGGCTCTATACCAAATCCTTGTACCCACAGAAAGTGAGAATGATTTACTGTGAACACAGAACATGAATGTTGCCTTTGTCTGGCACCTATGCCTTGAGGCACCTGACACACTGCTTTGGGGTGTTGGCAGCACTGTCCCCAGCCTGGGGCTGGACCCTGACTCCAGTATCCAGCAGTCAAGGTCTTAGTGCGCAGGGCCCATCTAATCATCTGTACACTCAGATCTATTGCTGCGGGCTACAAATAGAGATGGTATTGCTCCGAGAAAAAAGATGTCTTTTAACCAATAGCCAACACCCGCATCCTTACCCTTTTTTCAGCCCTATCTGGAGGGAATCAAGGTTTGCTCTCTGCAGGCAGAGTTTAAAGGCTATTTGTCTACTCCTGTCCATTTTCTTCCTTGATTGTTTTCTAAACACATTTACATTTAAAGTGATTATAAACTCCTAAGTGTTAATTTCAATTTGGCATAATGTTACAGGAGCTGGAGAGAATATGGGTATTTCTTGAAGGGCAGTCTGCAGAATGACACCGGGCTACCAGGAGGCAGCATTGCCCCATGTGCTCAGGACAAGGAGCTCCTTAAGTTTAAAAGGACCTCTGGGGTCTTGCTGCTAGGTGTCATCGAGTTTAGTACAGCTCACAGTGCCCATAAGAACAACAAAAGGAAATCCTGTGCCATCCTCAGCATCTCTCATACACTGAGCCCATTGCTGCAGTCAACACATCAGTCCACTTTATTGGGGGCCTTGCTCTCCTTTGCTGACCCTCCACTTCTACAAGCATGATGCCCCTTTCCAAAGAATAATGTCTCCTCGCAACATGACCCAAGTTTGCCACCTTTGTTTCAAAGGAGCACTCTGGTTGCACCTTTTTCAAGGCATAGTTGTTTCTTCTTTTGGTAGTCCATAATACATTTTGTACTCTTCTCCTGTACTACAACTCGAAGGCATCAATTCTTCGGTCATCCTTATTCATTGTCCAGCTCTCAGAAGCACAGCAGATTACTGAAAAGGCAAAAGCCTAAATCAGGTGCACCTTAGTCTTCAAACTGACATCAATGCTCCTCAGTATTTGGGAGAGGTCCATGACAGCAGACATGCCCAGATGTGTCTCCTGATCTCCTGACTGTTGGTACCAAGGGTGTTCACTGTTAATCCAAGCAAGATTAAACCATTAACAGTTTCAATCCTTTCTCCATATATCATGATGTTGCCTATTGGCCTAGTGGTAAGGATCTTTGTTTTCTTGATGTGGAGATGTAATCCATATTGAAGGCTGTAGTCTTTCATTCTCTGCCATAAGTGTTTAAGGTCCTCCCTACACTCAACAAGTAAAGTTGTGTAATCTGCATAATGCATGTTGTTGATGAGCCTTCCTCTGATCCTTACATCACATTCTCCTTCTTAGGGTTCAGCTTCATGAATTATTCCCTCAGGATATAGAGGCCACCAGCTGCTCTGCAGCAGAATGTTGGGCAATCTCCTCTCATGCAATTAACTGCCTCTAAAAACCTGCTGGAGGGTCAGCTATGGGTCAGTTCCAACTCAATGGTACACAACAATAGTAACAACAACAACAACAACGTGAATAGGTACAGAAGAAAGGGTACAACTCTGACACATATCCTTCTTGATTTTATTTATTTTTGTAAATTTAATTTTATGCTGTTTTACCTACAAAGTTCGTATCATCCTTCCTTATTTTATTTACTTATTTTGGTTTAGTGCTCACAAGTTTATGTTTTTAGATTTGATAAAGATTCTTGTGTATTTTCTAAATACATAGACAAAACAGTTTTGGAAGTTTACATGCATGTCTTAGGGCACTTATACTAGGTAGGTCAATTACATTAAAAAATAAAATAAAATTGGTCTTTGTAAAAGATCTTCCCAAAGAGCTTTTACAAACAGCAGGCAGAAGAAAGTTTTCTTTAATGTTACAAAATTTAAAATAATGATTCTCTCATTTCACAATGGCCTCAACCATCTCTCTCTTCAACATTTTGTTTTCAATAGCCAGTGTACTCCAAATTTAAGTCCAAATGTCATAAAATCCAAGCTAGAAATCATCTTTTAAAGTGTGCTTATCCTGAACACATTTAAAGTTACCTAGACTTGTTCAACCTTGCCATGCAGTTCTGTCTGCACAATAACTTTTTGGTTTAGGTATAGATTTCATATGAACACAATTAAGTGTTCTAGGATTTTCATTCTTCTCACTGTTAGTCATAGTTTGTTGTGATTCCAGAATTCTCTGCTGTCAGTCAGGATACATTTGACATCAGCAGTGATAGCTCTGGTGCCATAGCCTCTTCCAAATGCAGCTTGAACTTCTTGGAATTCCCTGTCAATGTACTCTTCCAGACATTTTTTTGGATAATCTACAGCAATTTCTGCTTGCATCTAGCACCACTAACACAAAGGTATGCACTTCGAATCCACCAGCTGCTCCATGGAAGAAAGATGGGTACTATGCTCTTGTGCAATTTACTGCCTCTGAAAACCCACTGTAGGATCAGCTATGTGTTGGTTTTAGCTTGATGGTGTTTAGAAACAAGAACAACATGCCCTGGATGGGGAAAAAAGGGAGCTCTGGTGTCCTAGTTGTAAGAATTTGCACCACCAACCCAAAGGCATGTGATTTGAATCCACTAGCTGCTCTGAAGGAGAAAGATGAACAATCTTCTTCTCTGTGATTTAAAACCTGCTGGAGAGTCAGCTGTGGGTTGGTTCCAACTCAATGGTACATATCAACAACAGTATATGCCTTGCAGAAAGTACAGTCAGCATGTTCCTTGTAGACAAGGAGAGTGAAACTTCATCTTTCATACTTTGAGTATGTTAGAGAGGTACCTTGGAAAGGTAGAGGGTCAATGAAGGATGTGAAGATCCTAAAAAGGATGGGTTGATACCTCGTCGGTAACAGTGGGCTGAGTGCGTCAGAGATGACAGGGATTGCACAAGATAGGGTAGGGTTCAGATCCACTGTTGATAAAGTCGCTATGAGTGATGGTGTACTCAATGGCACTTAATGACGAGCTAAGTTAAGGTCCGTTCATCTGCAAACATCACCTACATGTAGTGCTAAGCCACGTCCCACCACCCTGTTCCCCACCACCTGGGAGATGAGCAGCCTGGTAGCCTCACCTTGGTGAACTGCTGCATCTGTCCTGAACTGCTCCTTCTCTATCTTCTACTTTTCATAGCTCACACTTGACATCCTTTCTTTTACAAGTACACATATTTTCTCTTGGATTATTTTCTTTTACCAACAAATCTTGGACTACTGAACCTTGAAAATTTCCCTTCTTCTTCCATTTGCAAGACATAAAGCTATTTCTTGGAAGAGTGGAGTCATGGTGTTCTTAGAGGCAAGACTGAGGAAACTTCATCTCAAACACTCTGAATGTCCTGGGGAAAAAGACATCAGGCTTGGAAAGTAGAAGGTCAACAGAAGAGAGGAAGACACTTAACATGATGAATTGACACTGTGACCATAATTGTGGGTTGAGCATGGCACAGAGTGTGAGGATGGCCCAGGACAGGACAGGGTGTTGATGCTGGTCATAGTGACTATGAGTTATAGTGGATATGATGGCATGAACAACATGGCATCTTCTTGTTATTCTAACAAGAACAACATGGTAAAGTGATTTTTGAAAAGGGCATTAAGTCCATTCAATAGAGAAAGAAAAGTCTCTTCAAAAAATATTCCAAACTATGGGATACTGCAAAACCTATACCTAGACCAAGATGGTGTTATGCAAATTGAGCAAAGGAACACTACATGGCTTTAAATTAAGAAGGGAATGTGTCAAGGTTGTATTCTTTCTCTACATCTATTCAA